AAAACAAAACCCCTTCACCACTACCACCAGCACGTTCCCCTGTCTCCTACGGGGAGTCTCTGGTTCTCCCCGAAACCAGAACGACATCGCGTGCTGCGCTGTTTTAAGGGGAGAAGTTATTTATTTATTTTCAGCGTTCTGGAATTTAATTAAACGGCTCCTTCCCGTTTCCTCGGGCTAAGAACTGAAGCCCCCCGCCCCGAAACGCGAAGAGCTTCTGGCCGTCAGATGGAGCGGCACGGAGGGAGCGCGGGGTGGTTCGGTTTTTTTGTTTGGGAGGGGGTGTTCAACAGTTTGGGGGCGAAGAAGGCTCCCGTTTCTAGCCCTTTCGAAAGCTGCGCTGCCTTCACTTCATTTGACTGTTTCCGAGCCGTAAGAAGGACTCCGATTTATGATAAAGCGACAAGGCGTCCCGCACGCCTAAGAAGTCGGGACGCCCCCTGAAGTCTGTTAAAAAGAAGGAAAAAAAAAAAAAAGGGGAAGGGGAAGAGAGAACGCCGGGGGAGGACGGCCCCGCGCCGTGTGCCGAGAGCCGCTCTCCCGCTGGGCGCTGCCGGCACGGGGCGCTCCGCCGCCGGGGGGAGGGGGTCCCGCGGGGTCCCCGCGGCCCGGCTCGGCACGGCCCGGCTCGGTGCGCTCCTGTTATGGAGCGCGAGGCTGCGCCGCCCCGCCTCCGTGTGAAGCCTTGCATCACCGCCGCGGGCCCCGCTGCCCCCCCGCCCGGCCGCCCGGCCGCCCGCCCTCCGGGAGCTATTAATAGCATGACATCAGCCCGGGACTCGCCGCCAGAGTAAATACCAGCTCTACCCGCTCGGCTATATAAGGGGAGTGATGCAACCGCGGCGAGAGGCAGAGGCGCGGGGAGCGCGAGCGGGCGCTGCTCTCCCGCCGGCGGAGCGGGCACGGGAGAGAGAACGGGCGCGGCGCGGCCGGCGAGCAGCCCCGGCCGGCCGGCGGCGACGGACTAAAGGTAGGAACCGCGGGCGGCTCCGGGGAGAGGGATGTGCCGGCGACCGGAGGAGCCTGATCCTGATCCTGAGGTGCCCGCAGCTCTCGGCTGCGGGCGGCTCGGAGCGGAGCCCCGAGCGGAGCCGCGGCTGCCCCGGGCCAGCCGTGCCGCTCGGCGCCGCGCGGGGGCGGGCAGCGCGGGGCTCGGCGCCGGGGGGCCGAGGGGATGCCGGCCGTGACCGCCCGCGCTGCCGCTCCTGCTGCCGCTCCGACTGCCGGCGGGGCGCCGAGAGAGGCTGCGAGGCGCCGGGCAGCCCGGGAGGAAAAGCGCCGGAGACTCGCTCGGTTCTCTCTCTGTGCCGGTGTCCGACACGGAGATCGGTCGCCAAAGTCTTGCCTAAGCGAGGCAGGCGTGGCTCGACAGAAAACTTGTTAGAGAGAAGGAGCTGCCCTTTCCAAATGGGTTCTTCTCGCGTTTGAGCTGTTGGAAGCCGGCGGAAAGTGATTCGGGAGTGATGTGGGATGTCAGAGAGCTTAAGGTCAACCAGCGTGCACAGAGGTTGTGAACTGTAATTGCCCTTAATGCTGTTTAAGATTAACCTCAATGGTTATCGGCGTTTGTTGCATCAGCACCGGAGGAAAAGGGATTCGTGTGAAGTAGCAAAACCGAGAGAGAGGCACAGTCAGCCGTCAGCAGCTGAGCAGAAAGACTCAAAGCAGTCGTTCGGGAATACGCATAACTAACAGAAGTGCATGGCTAGGAATCGTGTACCGAAGCTGAAACATCGGCAGAGGAGATGTGTAGATTTGGTGAGGATGGAAAGAGCCACCAACAAAAGAACAAACAAGCATAGTGTCGGAAGCAAAGTTTATTGAATCTACCTCAAGTTGAAGGTTCCATCAATAGTAGAGCTGTTCCTCAGGGAATTGCCAAACTAAGAATAAAGTAAAGAAGCGTGAGCTCATGGTGGGAGTAAGCTGTGCCTTTATGAATCAGATCCATGAAATGTTCGACACCTTCAGTTCCAGTAACTTCAGAAGTCCTCAAAATAGACCAGAGCTGCCATCCATGTACATGGTCTAATGAAGTAAACAGATAGGATCAGGAAGCCCAGATGTAATCGCAGTTCGGGGCTAGATGTCCCTATTGCTATGCAGACCTAGGGCAGAGCGGCGTGCCACTCTTGAAAACTGATAGACAGAGGAACAGTTTGTGCAGAAGTTGGAAGAAGGGGCAAGCTGTTGTGGTTTATTTTTATTAGGAAAATCTAATCTCCATCCTCGTAAAGTGTTTCTAAAAGTAGATCTGTTCCTCAGAAATTGGAAAACATCTACCTTTTGTTGTGGAAAGCCAATCTGTTTGGCTTACTATTGGCTTCAACACAGGCTAATTATTTTTGATATCCCTGTCACTCCCGACCACCTCAGCCGTGCACTGGAAGGAATCCTGCCATGCCATGCACCAGCCCCAGCCCTGCTGCCAAGCACCTGGGGAGTCAGCCTGGGGCAAGAAGCCCTGCCAGCTGTGGTGGGCTGGGGTCAGGACCCATCCGGCTTGCCTGGTGCTTGGCAGGCCCCCCGCCTCAAAGTGTGTGTAAAAGGGATGCTATCAGGGTGCCTTGGAGGTCAGCGAGCCGTGCAGGCAAGGGCACTGCTCTTTCTGGGTTTCCCCTCCCAGTGGCAGCCTCCCTTCCCTTTTTGTCAAATTGAAGATGGATCAGTAGATCAACAGCTCTATAGAAACCTGAGGACGTTACAGCAGGGTTGCACTGGGGCTCGTGGTACGCTTAGCGCTTGTAGGAATAGCACTGCCTGGTAGGTAAGCACAACTTCTCAGACACGTTACTAAAACACGGGCATTCTTGGTTTCCTCTGGTGCTGACTTTAATTAAAAGTTGACCTGAGCTGAAATATAAATGAATAAACTCCCCCGTGCTGAGAAATGCTTGGCCCAATTAATTATTCCGTGTGCTGGAGAAATGGTTTTATTGTTAATTGAAGACTCCTGGTTTGATTGAATTATATGGAATTAAGTGTCTTGAATGAAGGCAGCAGCAGGAGCGGAGGAGACGGGCGGTCAGGGAGCACAGCTCCAAATTCTGTGAGCAGCGGGGGGCTCAGTATCACCTGCAGTCAGCCTGTTTCACTGAGCTGAACGGCTGGATGTTGAGAAATGGTAAATAATGCCAGGAGTTCAGCTGGAAATCACAGGGCCTTTCTGACTCGGGGAAAAAAGTAACTGCCAACTTTCTGAGATTATAGGATTAAACTGTATCAGTACTTTAAATGTGACTCATGAGCAGGGGCTTTCTGAAGAGAATTACATAAATTTCCCAAGGTCTTTCTGAATAACAAATTGTTCTGAATAATTTCCTCATATTTAACAACCGAGGGTGAAATCCTGGCCCCGCTGAGGTCAACAGCAAAGCTCCTTTTGATTTCGGTGGTTTCAGCATTTCACCCCTGGGATGTGGGAAATCTTTGGCTCTTCTGTGGTCATTGAGACTCAAAGTGAGGAAACCTCTGCAGCTGGACAAGTGATTTTCTGTCCTCTGGCAGTTCACTGCCCTTGGATTTTTGTGTTTACCTCGCTTAGTGAGGAGCTGGGTTCTACTCTAATTTGCACCGATGTGGATTTACAGTATATTTTTAGATATCTCTGAGCGAAATCTATCTTCTTGTCAAGGCACGTGACCCCAACCATTTCTTGCCATGTCATAGTAGTAGCAAATAGGGAACTGCACAATTTGGGGTCGTCCACGTGGAAATTTAACTTTACCCACACTCCTATCCCAAGGCAACTGTTTGCTTACCTGCGCTACATTAATTGCAATGACTTGGCTATAATTCCTACAACTCTAAACAAGAATAGTTTATGTGTCATGTAGTTTCCAAAGGAATCCAAGAAAACAAAAATCTCAAAAACCTCCACAATGAGGAAAGCAGGAAAAGTAATACAGCAAAATCCAATGAACAAAAGTTGCTTTATGATTAGGGGAGGTAATACAATCTATTTTCCTATGGATTTGCACCTCTTGTCCTGTGGGCCAGCCACACAAAATGCTCAGCTTTCTTCCAGACCTCTTCTCTCGCCTCTGCTGAGGGATGGATGGTTTGTGCTGGGTTGCCCATGGTGTTTGGGTGACTGACTGATGAGTTTTGTGCATTTCTCCCTCAGTGGGATTAGCAGTTTCCACCAAGCATGTAAGGCACCTCTCTGCCTCTTCCAAAATTGGCTAAAAAACTGAGGATGGCTAAAAAGGGGAAAGCAAAAACCACTGTCAGATTGGTTTATTTCTGTGGGAAAACTGCTAGAAACGATGTTCCGCCATGGGTGCCCCATTAACCAGTCTCAGCCAAAGTCTCTTTCGTTACATAGCTTTATATCAGCAGGAGATCTGACATAAACACTGAAGAATTAAAAACTTGTTGAGGGCACGTGAGGACAGTTTCAGATTTTGTGAGTGTAAAGGGAGGAAACAATTGGTGTTGCGTTTTTCATTACTCCTTCCCTCTGTCTCAGTTTGTGCCTCAAAACTGTGTAGATGTGTAGATTTCCACCTTTCTTACAGCTCTGATTGTGAACTGCTTCTCAGGAGTTTATAACGAGACATTTTTTTCTGTCTGTAAAACTGAACCTGGTGAGCACTTTGTAGCTGATTCAGCAAACTTCAGCTTCTTCAAAACTCTCTAATCTTTACTGAAGTGTAGCTGAGATGAAGGTGGGCTCCGTCCTTTTCAAGCTGTGATTTTTGTGGTGGGGTAGCTATGAAGATACAGATAATTCAGTGTTTTAAATAATAATAATATTTCTTTGGTTACTGTTTTCGGTTATTGTTTTAAAATGCTGCCTTGAATTGAGCCTGGTGTGAAAGCTTTTACTAGTGATAAAATTCTGAACTGTTTCTCATGAGAGACTGAGGTACGCAGGGAATGTGGGCTGAGCAATGCAAGAAATACATTACTTCACAGTATGAAATATACCTCTAGGAGATATTACTTGCCTCTTTACAGCTGTTGAAAGGCTGTTCCTGTCTCTTTTTGCTTTTCAGCAAAATGATGGTCCAACACACCGGCCAGGTGTCTGCATTAGAAGTCAGCGCCTCCGCAATTGTTCCCACCTTGTCTCCTGCAGGGTCACTGGGGTTTGATGATTTCACAAATTTAACCCCACTGGTGAAAGAGGAACTTAGATTCGCCATCCAAAACAAACGTCAGTCCCACAGGATGTCTTCTACTTTGGATACGGTGACAGTGTCCGAAAGGCCGATGGAAACATCAATCATGAAAACAGAGGTATGGCACTGAGCAGCATTTCGGGGTGAATGCTCAGTTCTCTAAGCAGCTTGCACCAGAAGAGCACTAATTATGTCGAATACAAACAACCCCTCTCCACCATCTAAACATGTTAGTTTATTTGATCCTTTTAAGTCTGTTGCTCGGTTTTCTGTTATTCGCTTCTGGGAAATTCCTATGGTATTTGTAATTTCCACTGAAGTCTGTAAGTTAGTGTTTTATTTTTAATTATGAATTAGGACAGTGTTTGACAGTGATTAGAGTAAGTGCTAAATCTGGTTTCTCTGCCTACTTGTGGCTCAACTTGGAATAAGTTGTCCTTCCCATGCTACATCCTAACCACGAGGCTTTTAATTTAAGATAGATAATGATCTCAATGGAAAACATTGTATTATAAAATGAAGAAACAGATGAAGTTAGGGAAATGGCAACACCTGGGTCTGAGCCCAGCACCCCCTTTTTGGCATGCAGCCTAGGAAGACACTTGGCAATTTTTTGGGGTGACACTGATTTACAATGAGCCATCGCATTCATCCAAACTTCAGTCAGGTTTTATTGACAATTTAAATGGAGTTACTACCACTTTACAGTACTGCAAGTAAGGTCAGATCACATCCTTATGTAACTCATGATGTGACCACTAACAGCAGTGTGTTGCTTTTACGTACGTCAAAGTTAACAAAATATAGTCAAAGTGTTTCAACATCTTATGGATTGTGTGTATCTGTTTTTATGGGATAGTTTTCTCCTGAAGAGGATGAAAGAAAAAAGCGAAGAAGGGAAAGGAACAAAATTGCTGCTGCAAAGTGCCGAAACAAAAAGAAGGAAAAAACAGAATGTTTGCAGAAAGTAAGTACCTGGCTTTAGATCTTTGAGATATATATATATATATATTGTCTGTCATCATACTGTGAACGAGATGACATTTCTTCACCTTATCTGCTACCATTTAAAACTATTTTACAGCAGCATAAGGCCTGTGTTTGTTTCTATATCCAGGGGCTCTGATAGAAAGCTACGTTCTTAGATGGCTTAACATAAGTTTACAGATATGTGATATGGTGTACTGGGGAGTTAGTAAGTAGCATAAATAATTTTGGGTCAATAGTTGACTCAAAAAGCTCAAAATAATCTTATAGAAGATAGAAACATTACTTTGGATGCCTGCCATTGTGAGTATAAATCTGAATTTGGCTTTTCAGTGTCTGTTACACTTCTGTAAAGGCCGAAGAAGGCAACTGTCAATCTGTTCTTAAGACTATTATCAACTGGAGGATGTATAGTTTCACCATTATGGGACGCTGAGAGCTTGTAACTTCTAACCATATGCTTTTCCACCAATGAAAAACTGCAACTATTAGATAAATACTGCAATTAACTACTTGGAATGCTCACACTAATAGTTGTGTCTGTACCTTGTGACTAGGAATCAGAAAAGCTGGAAACTATCAATGCGGAATTAAAAGCCCAGATTGAAGAGCTAAAAAATGAGAAGCAGCATTTGATATACATGCTAAATCTTCACAGGCCCACCTGTATAGTTCGGGCACAAAATGGAAGGACACCTGAAGATGAAAGGAATCTTTTTATTCAACAGATCAAAGAAGGAACATTACAAGGTTAAGTGATATGGCAAATGTGGAAATATTTATAGTATGTTTTAACAACTAGAAGCAACAGAATCCACAGAGGATCTGACTTATGTGTAGGATTCTATTAGTAAAGAGCGCTTAGGAAGGGCAGATTGCTTTCTTAAGCAGGAAGAATCATTTTTGGCTTGTCAGAGATTCTTCCCCTTGGAAGATCTGGTCTCGGTCAAACTGAAGAGCCTTCTGCCTCATAATAGGTTTTGCACCTGTCATACATGCTGTTCCTAGGAGCTACAGACAACAGCTTCAGAAGATTTAGCTCTCTGCTAGTATACAGTATCTGCACTCACGACGTTTGTGCTAGAACACTATGACTTCGATGATGCACATGGTACATACAGCTGTGCTGGATGGACACTACTTTTCCTTGTGGCTGTCAGGGAAAGCAGACAGAGTATTTTTAAAGTTTTGTAGTTTCCAGGAGGATGGTTTCTGGCAGAATGTACTGATACGTAATTTTGCATTCTAACCTAACACACACACACAAACACACAAAAAGCCTTTAGTTCCAGTTAAGCTTTGTAACTTTTTTCACAACACTTGTGTGGTTTTTTTCCTATGACTCATCTCAGAGACTGAATGTGACAAGTCCTAGTAGGTGTGACAAAGAAAGGTTTCTTGCAAAATATCCATGTAGCTAAGATGATATTTTAGGAGCTGGAACCCCACCTGTTATCCTTTGGGAAGTACAGTGTTTCCTCGCATTCAGGAGAGAATTTTGTACCATCACTTGGCAACTGTGTGAATTGGACCCACTGGAAAGACGGAAGTAGTGATGAAGGGACTTTGATATGGTTTTGCCCAAGCAAAGAACTGCAGGACTGAATCCCAGGTTCATGAATCATGAAAAGTTTAAAGAAAACAAAATCATCTGGGATCTAATCTTACAAGCCTTAGCCCTCACTGACAGAAGAGGTTCCATGGCCTGTAGTGATCTGGTTATACAGATGGCTGTCAGGAGTAAGATGTAGACAAAGCTTTTTCCGTCCTTGTCAGGATTGCTTCTTTTTGCCAGATGATTCAGAGGGAAAAATTATGATTGCAGCTACTTTTATTTTATGTTTGAGTGGTAACTACAGTCAATCAAAAGTGTTACTTAGAATCTAAAGGAGACAAGAGTTCTGATGTAGTGAATAATTGTTCTCGTTTTTTATTAAATACTAACCTTAGATGTTTCTGAACTGGTAGAAGAGCTGCTGGACAATACAGTTGGAGCTACGAGTGTTTAAATTCTGATGTTTCTGTGAAATTCTCAGATTGTTTAATCCAACAAAGTATATCCTTACAATTTTTTTGTAAAAGAAAATATCCTTATTTATCACTAATATCATAATGAGTAAAGTTAATAAATACTGCAAGCAAGATAAAACTGAAAACACAAGTGTTGTGCTGTCTTTTTACTTTCATCTCTTGGTGTTTAATATTATATATTCCTAAACTTCACGAGTTGCAAGAGACACCACTTAACCTTCATCGTCTCCACAGATGAGGCATTTGAGTATCTTAAATGATTGGGTGCAGAGAATATACCTCTCAAAATTCTATATCTTGATCAATGGTGTCTAGCTGCTCAACATCACAATTTAAATGGAGCTTACAGTACATAATATTTTACACCAGTTATGCAGTGTTGAATTTGTGGTTTTATTCTAAAGGCTAAACTGAAAGATACCTCAGCCATAAGCTTCTTCCTCTACAAGTCCTGGCTGAATGTATTGGGTATCACTCCTGATCCTTATATGATCTTTATATTCTGCAACAGAACTTAGTACATTTTTCTAAGATCTGGATATATTGTAATGTCCTATATCATGTTTAAATGCTATGTACTTCATGTATCTGGAAAATGAATGTATTAAAAAGACAACACACTAGGTCTGATTCTGTCCTGAGAATCTGTTTTCTTTCTGTATGTTGGAAGGAGCTGCCTTTGACTTCAGTGACATTTTTATTAATGCCCTGCAGGCAGAATTTGGAGCCTCTGCAATAGGGGGAAAGTTTCATGGGGAACTGGGCCGGTGCTTTGTCAGATGATGGATATACATGAAGTGTGTTATCAGTAAATTTGTCAAACAGTATTCACTGATGTCTGACTTCTGTAGTATGGGAGTACATAACTGAGGCTTCATGATGGTATCGTGCTCCTTGGCTTTACCTTTAGCACATCAGATACCAGCAGACAAAAGAGTTTGCCTATGCTATTATAAAGTGTTCCAGCAGAGACTAGAATATAATGACACAATGTCTCTCCTTTAGGGAATCTGTATGGTTGCTTTTAACCATACCGCTGATGACGCCGGCGTCGTGCTTTTGTTGCTTGAAGTTATGTATTCAGCATGCCAAATGTTAAGAGGGTACCACTACTATTGTCAGAAGATAATTATTTTTATTTCTTTGTATGTGGAGTCAAAGCTGCTTTCTACTGTGTGTACGTGTGTGTGTGCATGCGTGCTCCTGCACGCTACTGTAGCAGTGATGGTACTCAAGTTGATTTGATTATGCCCATGAAAGAGTGTTTGAACAGATAGACAGGAGCAGTATGTTGCATGAGTTTTTTAAAAGCATACGTTAATCAGGAGAACCTTTAAAATGCATTAAAAGCAGTTTGTTTTCTATTTTCAAGTTTGTTTTGATACTTTAATAAAAAAATAATATATATTTACTTATGTGTCATTTAATTCATTCTCAATTTCCAGGAGCAGTTTCATTTGCTTACAACAATGTCAAGGTATCAAAAGAAAACAATCACGTTTTATAGATTTTCAAAAATAAGCATCTTACCAGGTGATATTTGTACTGCTCACTGATTGTCGAGATACAAGCAAAGCTTTGTTATGAAGAGGTTGATCATGGATTTCAGCTAATTTCTCATTCTTGGTCTAGACTTAGATTAAGGAATGGGAAGTTAGAACTTCTGAGTCCCTCCAAATCTTACAACCAACCAGCTGGAAGTTATTCCAACTTTCCAGTTACCTAAGGGACTTAATACCTTTGCTTTGTGAAGTTTTAATATTTACAGATTGCTCTCTATGGTTATGTGGAAAACCAAAGAAGCACAGTACAATCAGGGCTTTGGTTTCCTTCTGTGTGTTTTTGTGCGTGCAGACGTGTGTGTGGAGAAGCACGAGGGAAGATGAACAAAATGTTCTATCCTGCCTTTCCAAAACTATCTGCACTCAGACAGAAGTCCCTGTGTTTTGATAGCTGGTGGTGTGGACAAAACTTTTGGCTTCAGTCCTTTGCAAGCAATCCTAGCTCGTACTACAGAGATGAGATAGAAGGCCAGGAGCCCAAGGAACCAAGAAATCCACTGCACTATTACAAAATCTAGTTAAAAATATCAGTTAGAATGAAGATAAGCTACTACAAACCAGGAAACATTAAATGCTTATTCTTATTGGTACATCTCTTTAAAGATGTGCAGTCCCAACGCGTATGTTCCCTCCCCCATGTATGTGCTCTCTCATGCATTCTCCTAAACCCATTACCAAATGTTATTTTGGAAAACTTGATTCACTTCCAATTTCATAAATCTTTATATCATCTACCTGCCTAATCTTAGAAAACTTACCAACAAAATTAGACTTATGAATTTCTGAGCTGATATTTTACAATCTTTTCTCATTTGAAACCATCGAATTGCACAAGCATCTCATCACTGTGACATATTGCTAATAGAGTAATTAATATTCCTTGAATTAAATAACATGTATCTTCTCCTTCAGTCTTGTTTGAGACACAGTCTGTGTGTGTACTGGCCCATGCAGACCTTAACGTATGCTCATCTTTATCCTGTACACTAATAAGGAACATGTTCTAGTTTTTTTTCAAGCTCTTCCCTTGATATAAATGAACAAATACTAATACCAAAGGTAGGCAAAGCCAGTGATTCATGCTAGGTATCCTTTTAACAACACCAAATGCTAACAGATCTAAACATAAAATAACTTTTCTATGCGGACCCACCAAGAACGTGAAATTACTTCTTAAGGAGGTGACATTAAAGTCGCTGACATTTTTGGTTTTACCAAAGGACCTGGGTAAGGAAAATAAAACACTACAGTTGTTAGTAACAAAAAGTTTTAAAACCCAAACCTACTTCATCTTAAAAAAAAAAAAAAAAAAGTCTAAGTTCAAAGTGGCAACTTTGTATCTCACGTCCTTTTTACCTTTTTTCACTTCTTTCCTTCCACCCATGTAGCAGGGCACCGGGCTACCAGTCTCGTTGAATCTGGCCATAGCCGTTTCTATGTTTGCCCAGTGCCCCCAGCTGGGGACCTTGAGAATCACATGATGAAAATGTTCAAGAATATTTATTTGCATAGAAATCCTTAGCAACGTTCTTCACTAGCTTATAACGGCAGCAGTGTCAGATTTTTCCTTACATAATAGACGCCATTCCTTTTTAAAGTGCAGTTAAGATGAAGAGTGACAATATTACAAAAAAATCTCATTACTCAAGGCAGACCCTATCGGACACTGAATCAGAACTGCTGACTTCAGTAATAAAAATAGTTCTTTACTAATTTTCAGTTCTCTCAGAGCCATTAAAAAAGAATATACCAGATTCTATTCTTGATACAGAAGCAGGTCTGGCTGCATAGCTTTACTACAGCTGACAGTGATGTGTGAACCAAAAAAAAACCTAATGATTTTCAGTCTCCAAGTTAAGCATATTTAATCTGACACTAAAAAAAGAAAAAAGAAAAATGATTAGACCTGTAAACAGATGAAATAGAAAATGGAAACAAAGTGGGAGTTGATGCCGGAACCCTTTTTCCCACTTTTGAGAATTTAGCAGTTTATCCACTTAGACTGTGGACATGTCCACACAGCAGTGTGGCGTAGCAATGCTTTTGTACAAGCTGGCAGGGAGAACCACCCAGTGATGACAGCAAAAAACTCAGCACAGGCTTGTTGGAGGCACTGAGAGGACGGGATCTCCATGCAGCCGAAGGACCAGCTGCTCCTGGCATCTGAGGCAGCTCATTTGCAGCCAGGTCAGGTATCATTCAGCTCGTCTGGTCAGAATACATCCCAGAGCCGCCTGCCTTCTCGACAAATGGCTCCGCAGGTTCAGCCCAAAGGTCCTTTCCCTGTTTTCTTCCTATGGCAGTGATCAGAAGCAGCCACTTAGGGAAGAATGAGAGTAGAGCAAGTATATGTGCTCTGGGTGCTTCCCAAAAGTCCAACCACTCTCAGCTTAGCAGTCACGCAAGCCCAACACGATTCCTTTAGATAGTAACCTTCATCAGGTCTTTGTCTCAATTATTTACCCGCAATACCAGCACCCACAATATGTTTTGGTGACAAGTTTTGTAGGCCTGACACCACTCATAAGAAAGCTTCCTCTTGTTTCTTTTGACCCCATTTCTTGCAGTTTCACCTGACAGACCCTTGCACGTTCTTGCACTGGAAGCATTCATGCTTGTCCATGCTCTCCAAGCCACTTGTCATTCTACACTCCACTGTGAAGAGTCCCAGACTGTTCAGTCACTTCTTTTGGTACAGATTTCACATCCTCAGTCATTCCTGTTACCTGTTTCTCTTCCGAGAAAGGCCTGTGTCTTTTCCAGGAGTTTAAGATCAGGAGACCATAACTGTAAACAGTATTCAAGACATAGCCAAGCCATGGATCAACATGGTGGGATCCTGACATTCACTATTCCTTTCCTAATAGCTCCAGGAATTTGGTTTGCTTTCTTTTTCCTTTTCTTTTTCCTTTTCTTTTTCCTTTTCTTTTTCTTTTTCTTTTTCTTTTTCTTTTTCTTTTTCTTTTTC